AATATCTGCTGTGTAATTAGTTTTTTTGCTCTATCCATCACTCACCGCTTGCTAGGACCTCGCTAGGACCTCGCTTGCTAGGTTTCGACTTTTGTCACTTTTCCTCCCGTCACTTTTTTCTGTCTTGATTTTCTATTTTCTATGTTAATAATGTCAGAATGCTTCCAACATATCGTCCATTTGCCCTCCAGGTGATACACCTCACGTCAAAGGAAGCAGAGTGGAAACTCACTGCCGACTACACGTACATTGCTCCCCTTCTCCCAAGATATAAGTTAAGATAAATATTGATTAACAAATACATTTTGGGTTTCATTTTTTTTGGCACCATGCAACCAACCACGAATCACTGCCTGAAAATATTATTTGATAAGGTTATCATGATCATGAATTGACCTTAACAAATTGCCATTGATTTTGCTAGTGGCTCTGGTATTGTGTAATACCTCCATTGGACGTGTGGTTTGTCCATGTGGTCTTACCCTACAACACCCTACAACACCCTGCACTGCAGACAACATGCTGGTTGATTTGTTGTCATCAAATCATAACTTTGTTTTCAAGGTATTATAAAATGTCTCCGGTCTACATTCGGTCTATAAGCGTTACATCTCTGCTTTTCCGTCACACCGACATTTTTAGCATCCATTCAAGCCACCAGAAAGAAACATGCCATTTATTTTTCTTCCTCTACCCCTCCACTTAAAGTGTTTTAGTATCTCTGTATTATAGTTCTTCAGCCATGTGGACAGACAGCATCTGTGGCCTGGATGCGAGGCTCACTGAGTGCCTCTTAGCAACAATAGAAACATTCTCAACGCTGTGCAGAGCTTGAAGTAACAAATGGATTTGACTGTTACTGCAACGTTTCCACATTTACTTTGATTTATGTCAGCTTTTTATCTTACTAAATGCATTTCACCGTGTAGCAAGTGGCCTATATTGTTAAAGGACCATTGTCTTCATTTGTTTTCCTCTCATTTAACAAATAACTTACATGAGGCTTGCACTACGTTACAATAACATCATTTCAACTAAATTCATCATATTCCCTGTGATGGGGCCTCACACGGTGAGTTTCAAGTCTCTTCAATGTCAAATGTCAAGTCTATTACAATACATATTTTATTCCATTCTTAAATTGCACTTGAATATACTTCAAAGTTACAATGCAATTTAGTTAGGATGTAATTATGCAATGGCCAGAGGATTGTCAAGTTTTATACTTGTCGGCCACTTCAAGAACGCTTTCCTCTCCTCACAGCAGTGACGGGTCCATTAAAGCTCCATTGAAACAAGGCTGCAGTGACCCTCAGTGGCTTCACACTGACAGTACACACACTGTACATCAATCTGTCACCAATGTCACCAATCTGGTAATCTCTTTTGTCAATGTTGATTTAAATAGTCAAATCATAAAAACATCCCTTTTTAGTGACACATCTGAGTGACTACAGCGACAACGCAGTGAGGAAACATGATTAAACAAGCCACGCTTGGTTAGTGAGCCTAAGTGCCCATACAGATGCTTTGAGGCGCCCTTTTAGCTTTTGCACTAGACACACCTCTCTGCACTGGCAACATGAACGGTTGACTTACTTAGAGGAATCCCAACGGAGACTTATGTAAGAAATGTTCAAATATATCAATATCAACGTATTCAAAGCGACGTCACCCATTTGTAGGGTGTTTTGGCAGTTGCAATCTTGTTTGATGGCCGTTGGCATCTGGATTTATGGAACCAGAATAAGGACAAGATGGCGGAGCGATGTACAACCAAATGCTGCATAAGGAACTTTTAAGGTGACTAAAATGTTATACAGTTAACTTTAATGAATTGAAACACATTGAGAAGGGTTTAGAGTTCCAAGATCAAAACACGAAAAATGCTCTCAAACTCGACAAAGTAGTGGTAGAATAGGAGGTAACCTTCTTTCCCACAGTATGTGTTACAAAGGGAATAATGAAATATTTATAAAACATGGAGAATGCAATAAACTACTAGAGAGGTCGCTGAGATTATCTCGCCCGGCAGGTTCTAAATGCTCCAAAATGTTGCGTTATATAAACAAATCCATCACCTAATTCAAAGTTGAAATGGAAGTTTTGTCACCTGAGAAAACGCACAGCATTAGTTGTTGATACATGAAAATATGTAGAGCCAAGTAGAGGTTACTAAAGGTTAAGTTAGCATAGAGATATTTTATTCTGGCATTCCGAGCAATATAGGGGCAGATAAAAAGTTCACATGCGGTATATACACACACACACTATCTTTGGTTATAACAATTTCAGATTTATTCATATAAATATGTACCAAATCCTACAGTGCAGAATACATTGAAGTCAATGGGAAAGAGGTGGTAACTTCTCAATATCAAATGAGGATTGCTGTGGAAATGCACAAACTTATGTGTGGTATTGTTTATTTATTACACGTAAGCAGAAATGACATTTAGGTGAATGGGATGCAACATGTTGGAGACATTGTGGGATTGGGGAAGGCGTCCAGATAATTTCATGATCGACTTGTTCAGTACTTCGCTAGTCGGAAAGGTTCTATTTCATAATTCAACCATTCACGCACCAATGACAGGAGCTACTATTCAAGGTGCTACCTACCGATCAGGACTCTAATAACTAGCATTCATACCCACTCACACCCACACCGTGGCATTGGTCTCTACAGTTCACTAGCAAGCCTAAGGACACATCAACATCATAGGTATTTTCTGCAGCTTTGGCCTGCCTGTCGCTGTGTAGAGAAGCTTTGAACCGTGTGACCAAAACCAGGGCATTGGCATTAGACTTCAAAGGTTGTTCTGGTTCAAATGCAACTGCTGTGATACAGCAAAAAATAGAGGGTAGGATTATCCATCCATCCATCTTCAATTGCTTATCCAGGTCGAGTTGCGGGGGCAACAGTCCCCCGCCTCGCGCCCGCAATCCTAAAGCGTAGCGAGCCGACCCTTTTGTCCACCGGGGTAAACTCCAATGTAGCAGCACTTAGCCGGGGACTTATGAGTATCCCCACACTTGGCGCCTCACACCACGGGCCACTGCGGAGTAGAATAGAGTCCATCCCCTCTCCAGGAGCTCGGTTCCAGAGCCGAGGCTGTCCGTAGAAGTAAGCCCCACCAGATCCAACTGATAACGCTCCACCTCCCGCACAAGCTCCGGCTCCTTCCCCCCCAGAGAGGTGACGTTCCACGTCCCCAGAGCCAGCATCTGCCGCCCAGGGCTGTTCCGTCTAGACCCCCCCACTATCACTGCCGCCCTTGTAGCAGCGCAACGACACCATTGGTTTCCCCCACAGGTGGTGAGCCCATGGGAAGTAGTGTTTTGGGGTGCCGCCTCACTCCTTCGGGCTGCGCCCGGCCGGGCTACGCGGAAAGTACGGCCACCAGACGCTCGCTGTCGGGCCCTCCATTTGGGCCTGGCTGCAGCAGAACTGCGGCCAAAGTGAGTGGATGAATCTCAAGCAAATTCCTCACAAGATGACTTTTCTTTTCTGAGAGATCTGAGAAGCAGCTTCAACTGACAGATCGCTACTCAAGGATAAAAGCCTCCCGGGCCTCGTGAGCACACCCACTAAAGCAGTAAGGTGCGTTCAATGTCAGGCCAATTTTGTTTCTCTCCCTACAGATTCAGAGGTTACTTGTTCTGGTCCTGATATGGTCTCCACAGAATTAGATGTTACTGAATCCTTTTGAGAAGAAGACATCAAGGTGGTACCAGCGAGCTCAGAGGTGACTAAGTCAGTTGTACTAATCTGGTCGGATGCTGACCAGTTCAGGTGTTACTGTGTCATTGGGAGCAGTTGGATAATATAAGAATGTCTTCATTGGTCAGGGCATGAGATATTGTTCTACATAAACCTGTTCAGCTTGGTATTACTTTTATTAGTACTAAAGTATCTGAAAAAAAGAGTCTATCTGTATCTCTAGCAACTATTTCACACATTACAGGTTACAGTTACAGATTAGTTTACAAAGTATACATTCACCCCAACATATATGGCGTCCAGTTTTTCGAAATTGGGTAACATAGAACAATGTTGAAGTTTACAACATACGAGTTAAATTAATAAATAATAGTAATAAAATAAAAAACCTCAGACTGCATGGGATTGGGGTTATTGAGGCTTGCCCGGCTAAAGACAATTCATTCCAGTCCACAAAATCTGTTCGTAGGGGTTTTATGTATCTCACCCACTAGTCCCAGAGTTTAATAAACACGTTCATCTGAAGGTGAAGAGAAAAAATGATCCTTTCCATAACGTTGTTTACAATATCTTTCCACTCAGGTATGGTGGGGAAGCAACCAGCGCCTTGTGAGTAGTTTTTTGCAGGCTGTTGTTAAACTGCCAAACAGGTATTCATCCGGATGCCCTGTTCAGAAATTGATTTTTTTTTTTAAACAAGACATAACATCGTTTTGGGATCTAAAGATGATTCCCTTATTTGAATAATTTTGGTAGGCACCGAGAAATATTTTTCAGTATAGGGTCATGGCTCCTGCCTATTTGTCACGTGGCCAAGAACCCCCTGCAGCAGACGGCCGCACACAACCTGAGAAACCCCACCACTCTTGATTCAAGGATAAACTCAGAAGGCGATGAGTTTTAATACTCTTGATACCTTTTCTGGGTATTTTCCTGTATAGGACTACCCTAGTCTTCCACACTTACACATATATACACTTTCATTTCCAACCAGGAGCTCTCCAATCAGAAGGAAATAGAAATTATTCAGCGTTGGCAGACAGCCTCCCCTCAGAACCTGGATCCTTGACGTCTGGAGTTTTTTCCTGGGAAATCCGCAGGGCAAAGACCACAAATGAAACCTAAAACCAAACCCTCTTTTTGTCAGACGTTGATCGTGAGAACAGGGTTTCAGACAAGAATTTTATTGTTGGCTTCTGCCATCCGATTTCAGCTTGTTTTACGTCTGTTAGCAAAATAATACTAATTGAAACAACCTAATTAATAAGTCAACAGAAACTAATAAAATTACTTTTTAATGGAAATATTATTTAAGAGTATAAATTGCAAAAAGGAAACTCACAGGTACTCACATGGCTTTGAACAATAGGACACGTAATTATCTGCTGCAACTCAACACAGAACCATCTCTTTCCTTACAAATCAATCCTATTAGGCGAACGTTTAGCCTCATACTTGAAGTTTCTACTAGAACATGCTTACATTTGATGATCCAAAGAAAACATATTTTTGAATAAAGCAGCTTTGTCTGAAACAAACAAAATATTACAAAAGATAATTACAGCGTCTAGACATAACCAAAGCATACTGCACAATAAATACACACATTTTGTATATTTCAACCTATTTACGCATTAACAGTTTCAGTGGCACCATAAAAGGGTTGAGGGGGGGGCAGAGAACCCAGTCCCCCGATTGGCCCAGTGCATCAGTGCTCCCTGAGGATTGGCTCTCAGCTTCATCGGGCTGCGGGTTCTTTCCCCCGCCGGCCTGAGCGGGGCTCTGCTCACGGTTTGCTTGTTCGTCTCCTCCGGCACAAAGTCCCTCCTTCAGCTCTTCGAACATCTGGTGCGCCATCTTGGAGTCAGCGGTGCAGGACAGAAATTTGTACATCTGAAGACAAGCAAAGTACAGAAATGAACAAACTCGTTCATCAAAGGGTTTGCTGTGCAAACTTACTCATGCCTTTACCACTGTCATGGTATCAATAAGCACTCGGATAATGGCAAGTAACATAATGGAAATGCTTGTAGTTGGTCTGAGAAAAATTGTATGAGCAACCACAGCGTAGTTTAGGAAAATTGAAAGCGGATTGATGTCGACTCCAGGCTTTGAGAGCAATACGGCTTCAGTTCCCTGATGTGTACGTAAAAGATTTACACCAGACAGCAGTGTGATGAAGTCCATGTACCTCACAGAACAGGCGTTGCTTTCTGCATGCAGAAATCTGGGTGTGTACACACACACACACACAAAAAATGTTTTTTTTTGAAGGGCTTGAGTAAATATAAAATATAAATCTCTAAACGTTATAATGTTCAGTCTAAAAAAAATAGAAACAACTGGGAAGCTACAAAAAAACATAATAGTAAGAATCCCCCCTTAGATGCTTTTGATACAAGCTGCTGTTCCTGAAACATTCTACATCGATTCCTTCATATAGACAGTTACGTTCGATTTCAAGGCGAACATCTTTATTTTACGTTGTTTGGGGTCGGGCTCATTTCAGTTTAGCCGAAGGAGAGACAACAATGGGAAAAGTGGCACAATCATTGACTTTCTTTCACGGTAACGTCAGGGTGAACAGAATGCAGCGCAGATAAATCACATTGCACTCACTACCAATGGGCTGGTGTGCAGCGAGGTGTACCTGGATCAGATGTTTGTGCAGCTTCTTGCAGTCTAATAGGGGGAGCTCCTCAGGAAGAGACATCAACAGGTCCAACATTATGGCACTCTCTAAAGGAGGATATTAGAACGCTGGTTCATTTCAACGTAGATGCAGACAGTAGTGGAAACTTGGACAGTTACAGTGTGTGTTTGATAGAAGGGGGCTGCGGTTGTACTGTATACATGTGAGGAAAAGAGAGGAGTTGTCCGACTCACCCATGGGAGAGAGATGGCAGTCATTTTTTGGTTGGTGGATGGAGCTCAGGTAGCAATAGATCTTCTCAAAGTCCACTGCACCCATGGCGCCGAACACCCTGCGATTGTCTTTTGTGGCCGACTTGCTGGTGCAACCAAACTTGGCGTAGCATGCCGCAGGGGGCGAGGAGAACAGGTGGGTGGCAGCGGAGGAGGGCGGTGCTGTGCTGGGGACCAGAGCCTGGCCGGTAGCAGAGGAGGAGAGGGCCGCGTGAGGACCGGATGAAGGGGGCGCTGATGGAGAGGAGGCGGAGATGGTGGTGGGGCTTTGCGCCGAGGGTAGCTGGGTGGTTTGGATGAGAGACGAGTCAACGTTCTGAGTCTTTACCGGCGCCGTAGAGCCAGAACCGGGCGTGCCCGGGACCGGGCTTGATGTCCGCGAGGCGGGTTGTGGAGATGGAGCAGGCGCAACGAGTATTTTTACCGCTACACCCGATGGACTGGGGGTGGAGGCACACTGAGGGGTGGGGGTGCTGGCAGCTGAAGTTCCAGCTGTGGTAGAAAGATGTGGCTGGCCGTTTAACACGCTAACCGCTTGGGTTCGGTTAGGCCTTATGCCGGGGCCCTGAGCGGGAGCCGGGGTCTTGAGTAGCAGGACAGGACAGGTGGTGCTGGTGCCGGGACGCTCAACTAAGAGGGAGGAAATCTTTATTGCAAGAGTTTTGATGGGCTTTACCACAGTAAGGTGGACAAATCTGAAGAACGGATCAGAAACCATGTTTGGAGGTACATACCTTTGATCGGCCTCACAGGGAGTGTCTGAGGGGGGTCAGAGTTCCTTAGCGTGCACGGCTCTGTGGACGACACCATCAGCATCTGAGGAACACAGGGAGGAGGATCAGTGATCTCCCTCCACGTCCGTGACGCAGAAGAACACCAATGACAAACTACATGAGATGACAGAGTTAACATCAGGACGCATGGAGGCCTCGGCTCGCGGTACCTGGGAGAAAGCCGAGGTGATGGCTTCCTCGCGCCTCCCAGCAATGACGGAAGCCATTTCTGTCCACATGTCGATGGGCTTTCTGAAACTCTCCTCCTGAAACCTCCTCTTCTTCAGCTTTAAGCTCACCAATGAGAGTATGTTGTCCTTCAAAAAGTCCACCAGAGTCTGGAACTAAAAGAAGGGAGGGACCGACTTTATCGACGAACACAAAGTTACCCAAAGCACTATTTGGAACATTTGGAGTTAAAGGCGCACCTCTGTAATGGACCGGGTGCGGACGTGTTTCTGCAGGTAAGCGTAGTCGATGTCGCGGTTCCCTGCAGACTTTCGGTAGAGGATCTGCAGGGCCTTCAGCACGTTCTTCAACTCGCTCCGTTGCCATCGAACGGGCTTCTTCGTCGGCGGCGGGTCAGGAGTCAGCTGGCGATCTGGTTTTGTACGTTTCCGAGGCGGCGGCTTCATCGCAGGTCTGGCCGGGGGTCCGACGCCACACGGGAGGGTCGCGAGGCAGGCGTGCAGCTCGGACAGTTGTGCGCGTCACTCACGAGATACAAACTTTAATTTTAGGCCCAGGCTGAACTAGAAATGAGTATGATGTCGCAGACTGAAACCACGACGTCAACTACTCCTGCTTCCGCATCCGACGACAAAATTCTTTTCCGATGAAATATTTTCAGAGTAAAAGCACCACCCTTCTATTTTAAATGGCTTGTGACTTTTCTCATACTTATCATCGTTTGACAAATATTTATTTTAGATTTACTTGATTTAAAACATTGAATAACTTTGATTGAAAGTCAATTTTAACTTTTCAAATGCAAAACGTGCATGCAAATATGTGTTGTTAAACTCATCAACCAATAACATTTAACACTGTAAACGCTTTATATACTCAATACAATGCATGTAATCAACCAACATACACCTTGTATCAGTTCCATTACTTTAGTTAATATGTACATCGTGCAAATATTTATTTTACTGTCATGATAGTACTTTCGCACTTTAATTCCAAGGCAAGGAGTCTAACTACTTACGGGTTAAACTCGTGCTTAGGAAAATTGTTTTGATCAGTTATTTTTCTCCCAGGTATTGTTTACAGGCCGTGCGCAATCTCCTACAAGCTACGGCTGACTGCAAGATGAGCAGGTCATGCAGGCTGAAAGGAGCACAGGCGGACCAGTCAAAGGACGAAAAAAACAAAAATCACTAGTAGGTGAATGGTTAAATGCCTGGCTAAATGCATAATAAGTATAATTAATTTGAATAGTATTTAAAACGGTTCAATTTGTTTTGTACTGTTGGGGAAATATAATTTCTACAACAAATATTTAAAACGATTACCAAAAAGCACACATGGCAGCGGTGGGATTCGAACCCACGCCTCCGAGGAGACTGGAGCCTTAATCCAGCGCCTTAGACCGCTCGGCCACGCTACCTACGACTAAATGTCAAAAGTTATTCTATAAATTCAGTAACAAGTAAAGAGTCTAGGGTGTTGTTGCTGGAGTGTTTGCTTTCCAAATCTAGTAAAAAGACTGAATAGGGCAAATAAAACATTTAATACTGTCCTTCCACTTGCACATGTTTTGCATTGTTGTCCAGAAATACAGTAGATCAACTACAGGAACAACAATGGGAGATGTTGTTGCCAACAGTTTAACTGCATGTTGCTTACGATACTAATAAGTGTTCTAACAAACATGCTGTTACCTGCCTTCTTTTGACAAATTACATATTCATCAATGTATGACCAGTTTTTGTACATGGACGTGGATGCTGTACACGTGTTGTACACGTGTTTTTGTGTGTATGTGAGTGTGTGCTTGTGTTTGGGAGCTCTGCAGTGGCTGTATGACGATGTTGGTGGATGAGTCACCCAGTCTTCACCACGTGACATCATGAATCACCGCACCTCTGCATGGGCAGAGCTGCAACCATCAACCCGCTCCGCTCCTCCCTTAACTCAGCCCTCCATGTCATCGGGCACGCTTTCTCTCCTCTTCTCTGTTCCTCCACTCTCCCTCCTCTTTATTCTCACCAGCAGCCTCTTCTTGTGGATTTTCATTCCAGTTCACTCTCTTAGCTCAGTCTGACTAATGCATATCCCATACCATTCGCTGCTCTATTGGCAGCCGGTGGAAATCCTCTGTAAGTTTCAGAGTTTCTCAAACACACCTATTTGTTAGCGCAGCCCACAATGCCCACCTCCTTCTCTAACCTCTAATCACCTTGCTTCCGTACCAGAGCAGCATGACGTATCAAAGCAAGCTGAATTCTTCCCGCTCCCACCTTTAATTACCGTTTGTGCTGTGATCGCCACGGGGGTCGACACGGGGGGTTTATATTCCTGACCCTAGGTGTTCATGATTTATTCATAATGAGCAGAATGCAGTTTTCAGAATACGATCACCATACAATCATTAAGACAGTTGTTGGCCGTATTCAGGGGTCACATTGACAGTTTGCCATTCGCCGCGCCAAAACAACACTACTCACAGCTTTGACAAATTACGTTGCCTTCATGTGTCTTTCTGTGTGCATTTGCAATTGTTGAGACAGATCTCACCTATTATTTGCTGGGGACATTCCTGATTCATCATGTTGATTCATAATATCTTTCTTTTTCATTCTTCAAAAAAATCTGTATCCAGACATCAATCCACCCACCCGACCGTCCATCCAGTCATCCACCGTCCCAACGATTCATCCATCCACCCACCCGACCATTCATAGCAACCCAACGACCAATCCATCCATTGATCTTTTAAGTCTTTTATAGGTCCATCAGCCACCCATCAACCCTTCCATCCATCCACCCATCAATACACCCATCCAAAACAGCCCTAACTCCAATAAAGACTCATCCATTCATTCAGGGAATTCTTCCCACAACTCACATAAAAAGATCTCTGACCACAATGAAGAACTTTTGTAACAAAAATAGTTTGATTTTATTGTTTCTTCATATGTAGCAAAAGTAGTCATTGACATGAGCATATTTACATCCAGCAAACGCATGTTTATTACGATAGTTTAAAACAAAGTACATCTAGAAAGACCATGGACAATACTCGCCATACAATGATTTAAAGGTACACCCAACGTCATTGTTTCTGTCATTTTTAGAGTTTTTTTTATACTTTTTCAATTGATGCTTGTACACCTTCAAAGAAGCAATTTTTAAATGCAAGTATAGATAAACGTGCAGACACTGTACTCTCGCCTCTGGTGTGTCGCTTCTTATCTAAGCCTGTTCTTTTCTTCCCATATCTTTCTCAATATGGGACTTCATTCTTGAAAAAAGAACAAACCATTGAAAATTACAAAAAGCTATTTTATTTCCATCTCCGTTCACTTTCTTTTCTTTGACTAATGTTGCCATGTTAGAGATTGTTGATGCCATGAATCTGTTCTGGCTAGACAACAAAGACATCGATATTTTAATCAATCCTTAGTAATAGATAACCACAAAAGTCAACACTACAGAAAAAACATAGAGCAACATCTGCTCTCGTTCCCAGTGACGCATTTGAAGGACAGAAAGTGTTTATTATTGTTTATTACTGATTATCAGTAGCCAAATAGAGAAAGGAACTTCCTCAGTACAATCCTATTATTTTGCACGTAAAAAAACTCTTTTACAATCATAACTACAACACTGCCGTCTGAAGCAATTAAAAATCCCCTCATCATGTTTATTTTTTAGTTATGACTTAAAACTGAATGTGAGCGAACTGATTGCATCTCCAGTGGAATCAGTTCCAGACTCATTTCATTATCCCGTCTGCTTAGATTACAAAAGTGATTACAGACATGATCTCTGGGATAAAATCAAGTGGTTAAAAAAGGAAACATAGCGCTATGTTCGGGATGTCACAGTGACATGTAAGGCAGCTGGCTGCCCCTTTCAGCTCAGTTTGGAAACAGGTTCCTTCCTACCAATGCATAAAATGGGTGATTGATGGCTGTGCATCATTTACATCAAAAGGAAAACCATCATAACCATTGAATTGTTAGTTTGACTGTTAAATGTTTAGTTTTTTTTATCATTCGACCGTCTGGGAAAGTGATAAAGTACAATTTGTTTTTTTATATTAAAAGGAAATTACGTTGCTAGATTGACTGGCCCATTGCGGCAATTTACTTGCCCCGGGCAAGTAGGCAATCTTTATTTTTCAGCAATGTAATGATCCAACGTGATCTCCAAAACCTGTTCGTAAAAATGAATACAAAATATTTGACATAGAAATTCGTAACAATACATACTAACTGGCGGTGGTTAACCACGCCCCTTTGACTCAACGTCTCTCCGCCATGTTGGATTCTTGAGGGGGTTAGGGTTAGTATTGTATTCTTACAATTTAACATTGATTTCTCGTTAAAAATGCAATCATAACACGTTTATTTTACATCATTAGATTTCACGAAGTGTGTTTACAGGGTGCAGGTCCCCATTCACTTTGAATAGGATGACGTCATCAGTTGCAGTCCGTATTTATTTAATATGTACGTATGTATCACTACGAATTTGTATCTTCAAGATTTTCGTGTACATTTTTAAGAACAGGTTTTGGAGATCAGGCTGAATGATCAATGGAAAATGTTGAATTATTAAATTGGACTTAATGGACCTCATAGAGTTAAAGGGAATTGGGATTTATGGGCACTTTGGGGCGCTCCGACAAAACCATTAAATGTATTTTAGTATAAGGCTGGCAATTTTCTGCAGTAGCAATGCTGCACTAAGAAAGTATTCAACGCATTTAGTAATGCAAAATAAGTTAAAGAACAACACCAGCCGAAACTGTTCAAATGCACTTGTTTAGTAAAAGAGCAGTATGTCCTCAACTGCATCGTTCTCTAAAGGCGTCAAAAGAATGCCACATATAGTTTGGTCGGGGTTTGGCACCATAGCAACAAGGTAATTGAAGTTATGCAAAAGGATGAGTCATCCAAGCCATTAGAGTGGTGTTAGCGGGGCTTCCACAACCCTTTGTATGAAATATGCCTTTTGGTGCGTTATATTTCATAATGAAGAGCTTCGGTGGGTATGCGAGGACACCCAATGAAAAGGTGCTGTGCTGCTGTGTTTTGCTGCATCTTTATACAAATACGACAATTTGTTTTTCAGAAAGAATATGTTTATGAAATAATGTTGGAATTCCCCTGCCTTAGATAAGCACACGCATACTCTCTGCGTTTGGACCATAGAACTCCTTGAGCCTCAAAATGTATCCCATCATTCATTGCTGCTTAAGATATTTTTTGAAGTACAGGTAGCAATACATTTAAGCGTCCTCCTTTATTGGCATTTTAAAATGTCCAAATAGAGAAGATGCTGGAAGCTTGGATGAAAATTTGTAGAATGATACAAATCTCCCCTGCTTTCCAACAGGCCAGGTTCGTGCTGTGTCCACTCCCATACGGAGGAGGAATGTAGATGTGTATCTTTTCTGTCTTTTACCTATGTAAGTCATCCGGCATAGCTCTGGGAAAAAGTCCTCCTTAAATGTCCTTGTCCAAATCAAAACCAAACCAAATAGCAGAAAGGAGCTTGTTACACATGTAAAACAAAACCAACACCACCAAAATAAGATCACGAAGAAATACTTTTCTGCCCATCTCTCGTCTTTCACTATTCTCTCGCTTGCTCATCCCCCTTTCAGTCCAACAGTGGCCTCTTCATGAGTATTTGCTGTATGTATTTCTCCAGATTGTCACGGTTGCTGCTGTCTGGTTGCTTTCCAGCAGCATAGTAATTTTCATCCCCCGTTGCTGCGGCTGCCGCCGGGTCTGAGTAATAATATTTCTGCTGAGATGGGATCACAGGCTTTCGAAGAGGGGAGCGAGGTTTGGGGATGAGTGCTGGCTGATACTGGTAGGCGGTGTAGTATGGCCTCTGGTGGAGGACCGCAGGGGGGGTTCTAAGCCGAGGTTGGACCCAGCTGGGGTAACGTCGTCTGGGAGGAAAAGAGTAGATGTCATCCCTGGAATTCTCAAGGAAGTTGTTATGGGTGAGAGCAGGTTTAGGAATGTAGTAACGGGGTTTGGGTCTCGGCGGAGGGGGGAAATAGATTGGGTAGAAGTCCGGGTACTGCTTCCTCTGGTAGTAGGACGGGTATGTGTGGGGGTAAGAAGGGTAGCCTGTCCAAACTGGCCTCGGTGATTTTAGCCAGAGGTCCTGTTTAATTGGCTGAGGCTTCTGAGGTCTGGTCCAACGATTCTGATTGGCGCCCAGAGGCTTTGCAGGTTTGCTCCAGACATCTTGCAACTTGGCTGGCGATTTGTTCTGTAACCATGTTTTGAGGAGATTGACAGCTGGGGAGGGCTGCTTGGAGACGGGGAAGCCATTTCGACTGATTGGAATCTGCGATGATGAAAAATCCTTGGATGAGGAGAATGGGGAAGCTAGCGGAGTTGAAGGTCGCTGCCAATGAGACGCCATCTCGGGCGGCACGTCTTTCTTCTTCTTCTTTTCCACATCGCTGATGATGTCAACCACGTCGTCAGCAGGTAGGTGCAGCTTGTTGGAGATCTCGATCAGCTTGTCGATGGTCTGCGGATCGATATCGTCCTCCTCTGTCACCTCCTGTTCCTCATTGGACCTCTTGTCCTCCGCAGCGTTGGACAGGGACGAGCTATACTTCTTGTTCCCATTGTTCTGTTTGACCATGTAGCGCAGCAGCATGTCAGAGGCAATATCGGCTAACTTCTCCTCCTCCATCTTGGCCCTTTGTGCCTCGGCCGCCTGCCTCCTCATCTCCTCCTGCTCTGCTTTGGCTTGAGCCTCCTCTTCCTCGGGACTCAACACCTCCTCATCTTCTTCTCCCTCCTCGTCCTGCAGTCCATCATCTGCAATCACCTCCTGCTCCGGAGGAGGCAGTGACGGTGCTGCATTGCTACCAGCGTTGTTATTGCCCTCAAAGTCGTTCATGAAGTTGCCTCTACTGAAGGTTGGGAAGTTGAGTCCTTTCTGCGTCTCCTCCTGCCATTTCAGTTTCTTCTTAGACATGGCGAGGTTGTTGCCTTTGTTGATTGGTATGATGTCGTTGTAGCTGCTGTACCCTCTGCTCTCTCTCTGGTTTTGCTCTGAATCTTCCTCCCTCTTAGTGGCCGTGTTCAAACGAGGAAACTCCTTCATCATGGTCTCAAGGTTCTTTAACTCCTCTGGGCTGAGCTGCTCCTCCTCCTCATTGCTGCCTTGTTCAGGGATGTTTGGCCCCTGCTGTGGCGCAGCAACCCGGCCGGTCTCCCCTCTTCCATCCAGACTAGCGGGCTGCCGCTCTGCTTGGACCTGGACTGTCTGACTTGTAGTTCGACTAGAGACCTTTTCTGTCATCCTCTCCTCTTCTGCTCGAGCTTTCTGCCTCTCCTCTTCCTCCTCTCTCTCCCTCTTTTTCTGCTGCGCGGCCATCAGCAGTTCCAACTCCTGTCGTCCATCTCGGTCTCTGTCTGCCCCCTCCATTGTTCTCACTGACCTGTCAGCTTCTTCTTCTTTAACACCCCTCATCTCATTCTTCATTTCTCCTTCCATCCCACCGTGCTCCACTTGCCGCTGTCTTTGCTCTACTCTTGAGTGATTCAGTGCCTCAAGTAAAACCGCCGCTAGTTTTTTGGGATCCACATCTTTGAAGAGCTCCTCCTCTTCCTCTGAATCTTCTTTCTGCATTGATCGTCTCTCCTCGTCTCTTGCAGGAGTAGCATATCTATGGTTATCGATAACTCCAGGGGTGTTAATCGGCTTGGAGGTGGACAGATGGAGGAAGGAAGCTCCTGTCAGGAGGACAAGGAGGGCTAGGGCACTTGAGGAATTGTGGTACCTATTCATGGTCAATTAGAAGAGGGCCTGCAGTGAGCAGTGAAGGGAATCAGAAATTCCTTGAGAAAAAAGCAAATAGACAAATCTTTAGTTTCAGCTTCAGTTGCCAAACAAGTAGTTTTTATTACTATTAATTCTTCATTACATAATCACTAAAAAAACATTTGAACCTATTTTTTCAGCGTTTGGGGGGTAGTAGACATGCCAGACAGCCACATTAATGTGTAGACCTATCAAAACCTATTAAACCTTGTTCCATCACAGTCATATCATCAAATTATTCTTTATATTTTGATGTATTTAGACAATTCTAACCTTCAGTATTCTATCATTTGTTCTCAATTAGTAAGGTCAAAAAATTATAGGTAAGGGTTGGGGTGGAATGAGCAGAGGTAATATTCAAACAGTATTTACTCGTTAAGTCCCTGATCTATGTTATAAATCTAGGGCTTTTATTGTGAAAGAAACGAACGGAAAAGGTAAGCCTCTCTGTTGCTGTAGTCCGTTGCGCTCTAAGTGATTGGATGATGCCTTTGTTCAACAAAAGCGAAGAAAAATTTACATTGCAATGCAAAATAAATGACACCGCACATTTTGGACTATTTTGTACTCATGACAAAACAACAGTTCGAAAAAATGTATTGACGTATTTGTTTAGAAAAAACACCCGTATGTTCAGTCTCAAGCTTGAGATTCCGTCACAATAAAATGGCATGTTGTGGATTTTTACCCTAATTACCTTTATTCTAATGGGAAATGTGCGCGTATACTCTGGGCCTCTCAGTGTCATCATCCCATTCGATGGTCTATTGAACTCCACGCGTCATACTTGATGGCATCACAGGCTTGAGTACGTCTAGTTTGGGTATTTCAGTTGTTCGTAACTTATTCCACTTTATAAAAAACGTGAATTCAGTTTAGACAATGAAGACCAAAGTCTTGAAGGGAAATTAAAGCGGGCGTCGGTACGTGGCTCTCCGGGAGCGGGACCACTGCACCACATGTAACCATGCAATTTTGCTGATGGAGTAACATCATCCAATTGAGCTCCTGCTTAAAAGGAAGCCACACTGTTCGTGCAACTAAAGTATAATGCCAAAAAATTGGCGCTATATATATATATATATTGCAATATATATTGCAATATATATGTTCCGCAGTGGAGGTGGCTGGATTGCAGCGGATGCGTGACGCGTGATGTGCAAATACGCAGCAAATGATCGAATGGCTTCATCTCATTATCCGTCCACACAAAGAAAACATATGCATTATAAGACTGCACGGAGTTGAGGCTTCATGGCCTCAGCAGGTCACACCACAGTTGATACAAACAAAGATTAAGATTAATATTTCGCCTTTGAGATCCAATAATCAAGAGGAAAAAAACTGTGCGCTTAAAGCCACCTCCACATGTCTGGCATCATGAGTAGCCTGCCAGCAGCCACACCGTGAACCCAATGCAGACATTTTAGACACGACAAACGGGGCTGTCGTTGACTCTAAAAGCACATTTTTGTCCTTTTTCCTTTCTTTTTAAACCGTGATGCACACAAAGCTCGTTCTACTGCATTTTTAATCTGGTTATTTTTGGCAAAGCGAGTCATGGTGATGGTGGCTGGAGATGACGATAATTGAAATGGTGGTGGTGGTGGTGAAGATGATGATGATGATGATGATGATGATTGGGAGGAGGAGGAATAACAATGAGGGGGCAACAGCCGCCTCCGCGTTGACCAGAAAGGAAAAGGAAAGTCCATGTGACAAAACATTCAACTCCCACACAAAAAAACACAAGCGCTCTCATGTCGGTAAACTGTTTTTTTTTAACTTCATTGATAACACGTGCCTAAATACAAATCGTATGTTGTTGACCAAGCAAAAAACTGAAATCCCTGTTTTGCATATTAGTATTCACAATTTTATTTGGGCTGAACCGTGAAAATACTTATTTCTACAATATTATAATATATAAAATACAATAATAATTCTCAGATTTGATCATCAGGAAAGCTAACAGATTTTCTTTATTTTTCTTCAGAAGAAAAAGTAAAGTAATGCCGGATAAGTTTCCACCTACCAGCAGTTCAGCCGTAGCAGCGGGGAGCTTCCCCTCCGCGTCGCGTCACACGTTGCGAGAATTCCCCGCTTCCACGCGCACCGCCCCGCGCTCTCCTTTTTATTCTTGTTGTTCTGTTGTGTGTGAGTTTGTTGTCTGGCGTAAAGTGCTGTCGCAGTAGCTGTTGCTCTTGTTATTGTGTTGTTGTTGTTGTTGTTGTTGTCTCCTACTTCTCTCCCGGGATTCCGCTCCTTTGGCTCCGTCGGATTTCAGGACCACTGACAGCGGCAGCGGTTCTCTTATACCGCTCGTGCCCCCCCCTCTCTCCTTGACCACGTGATCCGTGCGTCAAGCGATTCCCATTGACGTCACCAGACCGGGTTTCATTCATAAGATTTTTTGGTCGAACCAATTAGCTGCAGTGCTGTTCTCTGCTGAATGAACAGAGACTGGTGAATGAATTCGCAGTTTTTTGGCGCTCAGTGTGTCCGCATGCAGGGCCGGACCCCGCCTCTCACCCAGAGATGTCAAATAATACACATTTAGGAATGAAAATATGCACAGATAACGCTTTTTGTTAAATATTAGGGCTTGATCATTTTTGTTTGGTTTCACGTTGGGGCTTCATGTCACTCGTTCACACTCATGTATGCATGTATGACAGGAGCAAACTAGGGTGTGAGAACCCAGAGGAGTTGGGGGATTTGAGGTCTTATTTTTCCTTTATGGCCCCCTTATCTTTATTATTCAATGTACCTTTTGCCACCCTACTACTTAATGTAAATAAGTAGTAGGGTGCCTCTCAGTTTATGACACCTTGTTTATAGCTGAAGATGTGCTGAAGATGTATCCCCTGTGTATATTACTGTTTATTAATTGTTTCAGTCTACCGCAAATTCTAATTATAACAATATGTTATTTCATGTACATTTATATGTTTTAACCTCTGCACCGTTATTTCTTATCTGTCTGGAGCCTCAGAAGAACTTAAAGACTGCTCCACTCTAACTGTTGTGCACAAAACGGATAAAGAACTGGAACTCTTGATGCATGCTCGTCCACGACAAATATATGCATTATTTCAACAGAGCTGACAACGGTCAACAAATGTAACATGTGATAACTTAAACCATTCTATCAACCTTCCATTTATTTGCTGCTGCGGCTGCAGCCCCACCTGCTGCTCATACCTGCTTCAGTGAGGAATATAAAACCGATTTCAAACTTTAAGCTTCATCCTACTTTATATCGTTGCTATAACACTTAATAATATAATAGTATTGTTTTTTTAATTATGTCATTCAAGTATGCCGGTTTTCATTTTCCACAATATGCAACAACTGATTTAAAGCGTGTTGGTTTGCAAGTACTCTCATCATTTACTTCATTAAAAGTACCTTTAGCACGTGTTACATTCTCACTAAAGGTCCTGAAAAAGAAAAGTACCTAAATATTATCAGAATACCAGTAGAGATGTACTAATGGTAATTTATTACTGATGCAGTTTTTCACATATAGTGTTTCATTGAAAGTCATTTTAACAACTACATTTACCGTTAGGTGTCATATACGATCACCCTGACCATGTATAAAACTGTCACGGTGGTTCACTTCATGTTATATTTTGTAGTTTTCTGCCACTTGTGTCCCCGGGTAACTTCACTTCCTGCCTTCTCCCGTCATCCCCTGTGATCGTCTTAATAGTTTCCACCTGTGTCCAATCACCTGCACCTCCCTTGTGTATTTAAGCCGTGTGTCTCTTGTGTCACTTGTCGCGTCATTGTCTTTCGCCACGCATGTTCTTGTCTCTTGTTATGGGTATCTGTAGTTTCATGCCTGTGTGTTTTTTCCCCTTGGCCTTTTGGATTTTGGATCCTTTTGACTATTAAAATCTTTTGTTTCGGAGAAGTCTGCATCTGAGTCCTGCATTCCACCCGCACCCCTGACATAAAACCTTGATCTACATAGTTGTCAGAGTCCAACAGTAAGAGGTTTACTGTGTACAAAGTATGTACAGTATATATGTACCTCAAAAAAATTGTTGGTGGCCAAAAGGAAGTGAAAATCTTCGTTGACTTGTTAATTCAGCCCTTCATATTCAAAGGTGTTGTTGCTTTACCTCACTTCCTCTTTCGTATCTGACAAACACTAGTGATGATTGTAAGTAAATATGTCCATTTGGATTATATTCTCAATATTCAGGTAAATGCAGCTCCCAAGTAGCTGGGATTATTTTGGAAAGCACTGTTATTTATTATTTGTCAAGCTCTTTTGATCTACGTGTAAAACCAGCAGAATACACAGAAACACTTGTAGCAGCACAGGCGGTTACAAAACATCCAGATACACTTAAGTTTAGCTCAAAACTGTTTATTCTTTATAAAATTACATTCACACACCAAGTCCCTTTAGTCTTTGCCTGGATCACAGATTAAATGTATTATTCTTATTCTCTTCCTACAAAGAACAAAACTACTTTCAGTGAGAGATTTCCATCAAAACCCTCTTTCTTTCACATAAAGAAATAAATGTACAAGATGATAACCAAATTGATAAAGTCCTTGCATATGATGGCTGATTGACCAAAAGAAAAATCTCACCCAATGGAGAAGAACAAAAAACACAACTTAATTCCACACACCATTCAAAGAACGTCTCTCTGTAGGGCAGCAGAGGTCAGGCTCAAAACTCAACAAGTAAAACAGTGGGGCTGTCCTCACATGTACAGGAGAACGTTAGGCTTCAAACACACACGTCAGAACATCAGGAACCTGCATTCTGATGGAGAGATTCATTTCACGTGTATACAGTGAACCTTCAGAGAGACGCCATCTAAAAGTGACAGCTGTTATTGCATCGCGACTTCAAAGAAACTGGTCATATTGTAGGCCAACCAGGAACATTTACACTGGTTACCTGGTTACTAATCAATAGGATTTTGTTCTTCAGATTTGGATTTATTGCAGAATACAAACTCAGTGGTAAACACAAGTTTATGATAAGCTAAGCAAGGTAATCTTCCCTAAATGAAAGAGGCATAGAATTTCTGAAGTAATCACATAGCTTCTCTTCAGGGGGAGCAGAGCTCAATCATAATGGTCATCGTCTCATTAAGTCACTTGTTGGAAACCGCCTTCAGTAGCTGCGTAAATGGTACTAAATTAACCCCAAAAGGTATTTTATGTTGTAAAATAAACATCTTGTCATCTTATCTTACCACAGGTCTTATTTAAGGGACCCAACCAAAAACCCATTGACTTCAGGGAAGCGGATGGGAAAGGTTGACTCATTTCATGGTTTCTTTTTCTGCAGTGCTCTTTAGAATCAGTTTATGGCAAAGTGGGAAGCGGGCACTCTCACTGGATGAGAACAGCTAAAAACATCTTCAAAACAAAGTATTTGTTTAAAGCATTAAAGCCCTTTAGGGATAAGAATACATTTAAATTGATTTAAAATAAGTGAAAAAAAGGCCAACACCGGAAAATTCCTTTCTAATGTGAGTATTTCGCCCCTAATTCTGCTGCACATGCATCTGGTGTGTAAATCCATGTCCCTTGTCCTCCCTCTGCTCCACTACATGCTGACACAGTACAGCGATGAGAGGACAGTGAGCCCTTACTCCTAAACATTCAGAGCTCAAGTGCAGCAGACGGACGTCTTCAGACAGCTCGGGCTAAGTGTCCTGCAGCCGGCTGCCAATGACCTCTGCCAAGTCTCTTGGGTTACAGACACCTGAAGGTCCTCTGAGGATGGAGCACGTAGCGCTTCAGTTCAATATTTAGTGAGATGATCTCCATCCACGCAAATAAGCCCGGCAACATACACAGCAGGTCACGTGAGGTCAAGAAAAAAAGAACATGAACGTCCTATTAGAACACCAGTGAGGTCCTGAGAGGACATTTATATAAATATATCCGGGTAAAATGAAAATCATGCAAACATTTTGAGGCATTAAAATGAGATGTGTCGGATCGGAGGAATGCAACCAAAACAAGGTAAGTTACAAAGGGATGAATGTTGAGACATATCCGCTGGCACAGATCAACAGTCTACGGGGTAAACAGGATAGTTTGGATTCTTTGAAATGGGGTTTAGCAGGCAGGAGGAGGCTGGAGTAACAGGTGGGAGGAGGAGCTGAGGACGCAGCAGAACCTATTGGAAGTACAAGTCGAAGCTAAATTTACAATAATCTCACTGCTCAACCTCGCTGTTTTCTGATCTCAAATCGTTGAGTCCATCCTTTCGTTGAGCAAAGCTGACGCGCTCCATCGACAGGAGCAGCGTTTCATCTCGCGGGGCTGCCGCTCAGCCAGTTCTGTGTCAGTGCGATTTTGGAGTTTTATAAAAGAGGGAAATCAGGGTCACCAAAGTCGCACAGTAACACAAGCAAGCGATGCAAATACTTGCAGCGGTAGAGCAGCAACTCAACGGGCAACATGACAGCGTTTTTAAAGAGTAGATGACAGCTTCGTTTCCCTTCAGACGGACTTCCTCTGGTATTGTTTTTATCCACTTCTAAACAAACTATCCCTTTATCAGAAAAGCATTTAGTTTGAAACAAAAATCCATGGATTTAGATACGTTAATTTCAATAAAAAGAACATCTGCCGAGTAGACATGGATAAGACTGCTTTCAGACAACGATTACAATTTACCTAAGGGGACATCTGATATAAAGCACTCACTCAGGTTGACTAAACCGTGTAAAACGCAGGTAGGGGGGAGAAAATATACATCATCTAAATAGCCTCAGAACTTCAGCACAGTGCTAACATGTCGTACCGGTCAGTAGACCCAACTGAGGTCCAACTCACCGTCTCCTTTTCATTCCATTTCTGCGATGGCTTCCAGCCGCGTGAAGGACGGCTAAGCGGGCGTGATTCTCAGACGCACTTTGTTGAATTGCATAAGACAGACGTGACGTTTCCACCTCGTCTGGCACAATGGTCCACACGCGTGCAGGCGCATAGCTCGCGCGTAGACGAGTTATTTGAGGCGGTGATGCAAATCTCGAATGTCTTCGGTTCATTCTTCACAACGCACAGTGTCACTGTGACCCCTCCCTGTTCGGTAAGATGGACCAATAACAGGTACGGGACTCAAGTCGGACCAGCAAAGCTCTGCCTTTAGGAGGAAAAAGTTTACAATCGTTTTAAAACGTCTGGTATGAACCAAATAACTAACAATGCAGGGATTTTAGGATGAAGTAGTACGAACACATCTCAAGAGTGCAGCCAGAGAACAGAAGAACAACCTCTGCACTACAAAAACAAGAGCTTAGAGTGTCACTAAGCAAAATGAGCCTTAACACAAACCGCGTGAGACGCTCATGTGTGTTTTAATGTTGGACAGACGTTTGCTTTGTTCTTTTAACCTGCATGTCGTGTACTGCTTTGCTTGTTTTATGCGTGCACATAACCTAAAGGAATGATGGCGAACACTGTGCAATTCAAAACAGAATCTTACTACAGAGAACTGCCTTTTGTATGTGAAACTATGCATCCGTGGGCTGTTATTAAATATGAATGTGTTCAGTAGGAAGTACCAATGGGGACATCAGATCCCAGACTTGGTCTTAGTCCAAATTTAGTACAGTTGACCGTCACAACACTTCTTTAGATCAAAGCACCAGCCCAAGGTCCTGAGCCATGCTGCCTTGCTGTGACTCAGCATCCGCTGGGATTCAGCTCTCTGATAGGCTAACGATAGACTCCATCTCACACCTTCAAAAACATAACCCCCCCCCCCACCCACATAAATCCTCACGCTCAGGTCTCACTCACACACAAACACAGTAAAAAGCCTGTCAATGCAAGTATCCTCCATTATCTCTTTCCCCTCAGTCAAATGCTGGACATCAGTCCCTCCAGCTTCAAAGATCTAAGCCCCGCCCCCTCCCACCCAGCCCTCTGCCTTTAGTATCTACAGCATCTCACAAGCCTGCCGTGTACTACGCCAAGCCCATCTCCTCCAGCACACTCCTGGGCGACTCGTCCTCCTGTAAAAGGAGACAGGAGATGGAGGACTCATTAAAAAAAAAAAAGCAATTTAAAAGAACAATACAAATAAACATTAACATTTTATGAGGCTATCACCCTCAGAGGAACCCCGAGGTTCAGACAGTAACATTTTCTATTAAGCCCTGTCTTAGAGCCATTAGAAACATATTAATAAATCCTAATCAGCTAATAGCACTGTGTAATTGTAAGCACGCGTTAATATTAATGCTTTATAAAAAACGTAACCTACAAAATATGATAAAGTTGTTTATCAGAATTTAAAGCGTTTTTGAATCATATTAATAAATATTAATACATATCTAAATATTTGTGAGTGTTAGGGATTCAATAAAGGGATATCAGCAGTTTATAATATGTTACATGGGTGCCATAGAAAGTTATACAATACAAACATACTTCACTGTTTTATCTTCAGTCAACACACACTTGTCAGGCATTGAAAGCAGAAGGTCCGTTCAGATTAAAAATTAATCCGTTTATGCATTGAAATCTAAAAGTTGCTGTTTTAGACCACAAAAAACAAACTTATTCCTCAGTGTAATGTTTAGTGTAAAAAAAAGTGACAAGAGATTTATATTTCTCGCTTGACTAATGCCGCTGCCGCACACCGGGAGAATGAAGCAGTGCAGCAGGTGAGATTTGTACTGAGATTGTAACCAATCAGTGACAATAAAGAGTTATTGAGGATTGGCTGCTGCCACTATATTTTAATTCTCCTAACACTTTCTGCCAAACACTTAAATGATAACCACATTACTGCTAAAGACACAGGAAGTGACATCCCTCCCAGGTGGAGGTGGTGGGTGAAGCCTATAGCTACGCTTACCTCCTGAAGAAGGTCGGCTTGTTCAATGGCTTTGAGGACGCTCTTCTTGGACGTATCTTGGATCTCTCCTCCCATCAGGAACTCATCCAGAATGAAGTAGGCCTTCTCAAAGTTGAAGATGATGTCCAGCTCACACACCTGCAAAAACAGACACAAGTCAATAATGCTTTCCGCAGCAGGGGGGAACACTTCCTATTAAACCATGAAACATTTGTTTAGCAGTGTGAAATCAACCGCGGAGAGCAAACACATCTATGACGTACGCTGCCAAAGTACTTATCCAGAAGCTCTACGAAGCGGTGGATGACTTCAAGCGTGATCAGCTCGTTGTCCTGCTCTTCGATTGCACAACAGAAATACAGGCTGGCGTACCTGTATAAATACACACACAAAAAAAAACCATTAATAATAACTACTTTAACGCCGTAAAATGTCTTCGGCATGTGTACTTTGCTTAGCTGTTGCAACAAAATCCCCATAAAATCAGCTTTATTTTGTATTTTTCTTAAAACCTTCTTGATTAATCGGTCTACATAACATCTTCTGACTTGGATAGAACCGATGTTCACACTTACTTTGGATTTGACAGTTTTCATTTTCTTAAAAATGCCAGGCTTAGAAAAGATGGTTAACAGGAGTATTGTGAGGAGCAGCAGAGCTGCAGTGTTCCCTCGGTCCACCCCCACTGCAGGAAATCCCTCTATGCGAAACTCATCACCCACCCACCCACGCACAGCACCAAGCTGCTTTGTTTGGTCAGCCCACCTCTGCATTCTGCTGGCAGTAATGAGCCATGACACACACTGATAGGAGAGAGAGTGCGAGTGTAATGCTGGGTTTCACCCTTTCCACCCACCTCAAATGTAATGCTTCTCAGCCCACATACAAACAGATGAACTTTTATCGGGTTGTGGGAGGCAAACTCAAGTGAAGCCTGGACACACAAAAAGCAGACAATCTGCTGCTCTATTTTATAGAAATTATATAGAAATTATTTCATCACAGATGTCAAACAGTGCTAAAATCAAACCCAAATAAAGATTATTTTGCGTACCTTGATTCTTATATTGTAACAAAAGCACTGTAAAAACCTAAATCATCAGAAAAAGTAACATTATATAAAAATGCAGTCATCATGACGTCACTCATGTGTTGGGTAAATTCCCCGTTGCCATCTTGGCTTCTTTTCAACCATGATCAGATGTTACCTCATAGCGGCAGTAAGGATACCTTGCTTTATGGTCTATTTGACTCTAAGTGGACCATCATTTACTACATGAACATTGTGCTGCATTGAAAAAGATGTTTACAAGGTTTAATGACGGAATAAATCAAGAGCGAAGAAGAAGAATTTTCTTATTTCTATTGCACTTCTTTCTGGAACAAGAACAACAGCCCCCTGCTGGTCAGTTGAGATAATGCAAGTTTAAAAACATAGCTTATGGGGAAAAGGTTTCCACTTAACGTTACATGTTGGAAAACAGAACATCTGGAGAAGGATGCTTGCTAACGCTCTTTCAGTTCTGTTAAATGCAGTGTATTAAATCGGTGAATTATCGTAGCTTGTCTTTTTGTTCGTTCTGATTAGTTAACGTTAAGCTCCTCCACTTCAAACACAAGATTGTGGGAAAAAAAAAAAAAGAGTCATATCAACAAAATTACAAGAGATCTACTCTAGCATAATACAAACTATGATACTAAATCCTACAACGTGATAATTAAAGCTGTTTTTTCTCTCTTTTAGTACCAAGCAAAGGCGCGTGCACGAGTTTGTCTTTCAGAGGCTCGTGCAGCCTCAGATGAAGGAGTGGACAGAGAGCATCCTCAACATGCTCGCCACTTGCAAAGACTTTATTACTTACTTAGACTTATTACATTTAAAAACTTTAGTTGCACTTTGTCTTTACTTTAAACGCATGTTTGCACTTTGTATTACTATTTAATATGATGATGATTACATTTGTATTAACTTGTTACTGAAATACATTTGAAGTTCAAAATCCAACATCCAGAGTCATCATATTAATTTGCTTTTGTAGCTTTTGCTTTTTTAGGGGACTAAAAGGACCGAATCCACGGGGCCCTTCAAGAGAAGGGTCGTTACCCTGGTGACATGGGGGGTAAAAAGGGAGCAGGATTTGAATGTGTGGCAGATGTTATTGGATGGAAATAAACGGCCTCACGTTGTGGCCAAAGGGAATACTTGCCTCTTTGTTTGTTTTCACGCTCCTACACTGTGGTAAATAATTGTTAGATTAGTCGATTAAGAAAATAATCGTTAGTTGGAGCCCTACTTGCAACTGGCCGCCGAGTTAGAGCGTTAGCTCTTGTGGCTGATAGTGTTGCGACCTGAGACAATATGATTTAGTACATCATAAAATATATAATAACACAGCCTTTTAAACACACTTAGAGAGTTTATGATTTCAGCATTATTGTGATACCTTTTATAGACAATCTTTAGATCCCTCCACTCGAGGAAGCTGCACATCTTGGGCTTGCGGGCGAGCACTATCTGCATCAGCTCCCTCACCATCTTCTTCTTGTCGCGCTCGGCCGTGGCCGTGTACCACTTCTGCAGCCGCAGCTTCCCCTGCCGGCTGAAAAGCAGCATGAAACGCATCTGCACAGACACCATGCAAGGAGGGACAGAAGGACAGAGACAGGACAGCGTTATTGACAAAGGCAAATGTATTTATAAATGAATTAAAAAGAAGTCTGTTGGTTCAGCTTTGATTATCACCAAGTTCAAACCAGAGAGAAAGTATTTTCCTCCTTTCTGGTTTCTTATTTTTTTGCCTATTTGTCACACTTAAATGTTTCAGATCACTAAACACATTTTTATGTTAGACAAAGATAACCTGAATAAATACAAAATGCAGTTTTCTAATTTATTAAGGGAAATAAATATCCAAAACCTTTTTCTTCTAACCCTAATAACTGGTTATGCTCCCTCTTGGCAGCATCAACTGTTTGTGATTATCAGCCACGAGTCTTTCACATCACACTGGAGAAGGTTTGGTCTCCTCTTCTCAGCTGAATTGTTTTAAGCCTCATTGGAAGGTTGGAGCCTGAACAGCTTGTTTATGTCACATCATCTCAATTGGGTTTAAGTCCAGACTCCTAAACCTTCTTCTAGCTGCTTCTGAGCAAAGGACCTGCTAGGGGGTTTTGGAGCATTGTCCTGCTGCAGAACCCAAGTGCTTGAGGTCACAAACTGATGGCCGGACGTTCTCCTTCAGAATTTTCTGGTAGAGAGCAGAACTCATTGTTCCAGCAATTGTGGCAAGTGGTTGGTATGATGTTGGTTTCTGAGATGCTGCATTACTGTTACACCAGATCTAACGGGGCACACACAAATTCTACTTTAGTCTCATTAGTCCACAGAATATTTGCCTAAAAGTCTTATTTTTGGTAGCTGGGAGACGATTATTTGTGTTCTGTCCCGTATTGTGGAGTCGTGTACTCTGACCCCAACTGAGGCCAGCGAGCGCTGCAGTTCTCCACATGTTGTTCTAGGGTTTTTTTGGACTTGATTGAGTCGTTGGCGCCGTCTTGGAGTAACAGAGATCGATAGCCTAATTCACTTCGTCAATTACTTCACATGGGTGCACGGTAGGTTTGGATTTCCCCTCATTTTACAATTATTCAGGTTATCTGTCTAATATAAAAATGTGTTTGATGCTATGAAACATCACCTATAAGTGTGACAAATAGGCAAAAAAAATAAACCAAGAAGGGGCAAATACGTTTTCACGACACTGTATATCAATAATAACATCTAAATCAACGGCTTCCTCAATCAGCTTAAGATTTAACAGCAAACACCTTCATCAAGTCAGTTTTCCCTGAGTTTTCCCGCTCATAGAAACTACAATGCACAACATAAAATATCCGACCAAACTGGTCTGCGTTTTTCATCCATCCATGTCAATTAGGATTTGGAGTGAGTTCTACGTGGTCCTCGTCCTTTGCTGGACCACAACGACTTGCAGGGCAGCACGCAGGCGTTAGAATGAAGCAATTAAAAACAAAACAGGAGCCTGGTGTAAATTACGACACTTGCGGCAGCCGTGGCACGCTAAAAACAGGATTTTCAGGTGCTATGTGAGGCCAATAATTGAGTAATCCCTTTCTCAGATGATATCTACACTCAGTTTGGTGTGATATGCTCTGTACTCACAAACATGTACTGCAGATACAAGGGTGTAGCACGCACTCTTTACTTACATCCGCCTGTCATTCACCTCTGTAGGGTCTATGTGTGTGGAGGTGTTGGTCCTGTTTGCTTTAAAACAGCGCATTGGATGGAGTGTAGTCAAATATTGTCTCATTAACGGTTTACAACATGACTCTTTGTTCAGTGCAAAGAAAACTAGTTTGTCAACTGAATTTAAATCTTCACAGTTGAAAACTGTTACCCATTTAAAAGGAAATCTGCTTGGTAGAAACACAAAACTGCCTGCAGCCACTTCTCTAAAACGTTTTGAACAGCAACACAGAATCCATCAAAATGAAAGTGCTGTACCAGTTTGAATGAAAAACAACAGGAGATCTTGTTGTTTCAGCCGGTGAGATTATAGACCTTTTGTGTACATTTACATACAACTTTTGACAACGCGGTTTACCAGTACATTTGAAAAGCAGCGCTCAACAGAAAGTGTTGCCATTGACGACGCTTTTCAATAATTGACAACCAATTGCTGCCTTTTGATTGTCATCAGCGGCAACTCTTTTTTCAACCTACAAATTACAGGGATAATGAGAACTATCCCGACTCATTTAACTCATTACCTGCAGGCCTCATTGTGTGGAAGAGATTATTATATGATGTATCAGACCTGCTTTACTAATTTTACGTATAGAGAGATAGATATAGATATATATAGATATATATCTATATATATACGTAAAGTTGTCGTGGTGGCGCAGGGGTAAAGCGGGTGTGCTAGGAACTGCAAGTTTGGTGGTTCGAATCCCGGCCGCCCCATGTCTCAACCGGAATGTCCCTGAGCAAGACACCTAACCCCTAATTGGTCCCCGGGCAAAAGGTGAAAAAGCCATGGGTTTAAAGTGTAAGTCGCTTTGGATAAAAGAGTCAGCTAAATGACCTGTAATGTAATATATAAAATTTACTGAACTGTTATTTCTTGCTGAAATAATAAATCCTACACAATTGACTCATATTTTTGGAAAAATTTACTTGGACGATGATTTAAAATGGTAAAAATGTAAGCATATAATGTATACAGTACAAACTGTACCAATTGGCCCCATTGTGCTGATCCCCAATTCAGTTAGTTAAGTATTATCCCAATATACAGTGTTTTTACCAATGCATTTTTAAGCACTGTGCTATGAATACATTTCTTGGAATTGTTGCATTGGTGATATTTATATACTGTGGTTAAGATCAGAAGACGCATGTGACAATGCTGCTTGTGTGTATTAAAGGTTGACTTGGGTGCTTTGTTGAAGCAATAGCAAAAACAAACAAAAGTTGTTTGCCTGTGGGGTTAGAAGTTTGACGAACATTACGAACATATTAACAGAGGAAAAAGGAACAGGATGAACCTGAAGAAAAACATCTAAAACAAGGAAATGTGTTGTGTCTTGGGAGGAAAAGTATCCTGCAATCTTTGACCTGGGCAGAATACTATAGAACTATCCCCACGTATATTAGAACACTGCAAAGCGTGTACCATGTACACATGAATGCATTGAAGGGTAATTACACGAAGTATAAAAAGTGATTAAAATGCCAAATGTATTTTCAATTGCAGTATCCCCAAAGACAACGATTAAAATAAAATAGGGCAAAATACTTCAATATAAAAATACTGTACATTCTGATCTAATAATTAACCCACTGCTGTACTGTATATTAAAGCACATATGCCGTGACAGCCATCTAACTGTCACCTCCACCGTTGACACTGGGCCCAAACTCATTACCTGCGACGAGGAAGAAACGGCAATTTAAATCTTTAAATTCTCACAATCTGTCAGCTTCATTTTAACATTGCTGAATGTCATTAGGATTCAGCTATCATTACACGAGCCATACGCCAATCAAACATACATAAAATGTGTTGAAAGTAAAACTATTTCCCACCTTACGTTGCTTTACGGCCTGTTAGCTCGCAGGCTACGCTTACAGTAGCCAGGTGAAGGTAAGGCAGGTGGAAACTTCCTGAAATCCTACACCTTGCTAGCATTAGCTTAGCAACTAGCTCGTGCCCTCTCTTTAAAGCGAGGGATAAGTAGTAACTTACGATTTGGTTTTGATATATATGTATTTTAGCTACCGGGAGAGAATAGACGCGCACTACCTCTACGCTGCCTGGTCCACGTAAGCGAATAAAGCGCCGCTATTGTTGACAGAGCATGTCTGTATCGGTCGGATACCGGACTGAGTGAGACATTCCCTGCTACACCGACCACTTCCGCATCTGCTGCGCATGCGCGGTCTGCATCGCATTTAACGCCCCGAGCTTCTCAGGCGTCAATTCGGCATGAAGCAAAGAGCGCCTTTTTTTACGACATGTTGAAGAACACTGGTTAGTTCGAAGTCAGAATGGCAACTTTAGTGTGGTGTCTGAACAATACTTAAAAAATAGTTAGTGTTGACAGGCTGTGGTTCCACGTTGTAAGCAAATATTGGAAAATTAATGTTAAAAACGGACACACTATATCCCCTTTTTAAACAAATGAGTGAAGCGCTTTTGTTATGGTTTTGTTAACGTCCCACCACTTGGGGGTGTAGGGCACTGTTCCAATTAGGCCGCAAGGTCCATATGATCAGGAGGATTATCTGCCTCAGGTGTTGGTGTTTGGGAAGCAAACCGTTTTGTGAACATGCGTGGAAAGAAGAAGGGTTATCCACTGGTAAAAGGTGTGAGGATATTTTTAGAGTTTTAGAGTATTCAAAGTAGGAAAAGGTGGATTTAAGAAACTCATGTGTTCTGATCACTTTGAGAACTAAATAAATAACAATACATGACAACTGGACGTCTCAGGGATTGTTTCATACGTCAAAACGGACCAACGGCAACCTGAGTTACCGTTATTTTTGATAGGCGAAAGGGTCACTATATTGCTATATGAACTTTAACATTTTGAGAATGTAGTACAGAAAGCTTAGATCATACTGGTGAATGAAGGTCTGGTTCCGTCCAGACTTTTGGATATTTGAACACAAGAGGTCAGCGGTGACCCCCCACACGTCTCAACACCGCAGCTTTGTGAAATATAATATTTTAATAAATATAAATTTCGGCAAAATACAAATGCAACTCTAACAAATAGGCAATAAAAAAATAGACACTAGAAATATAATAGAAAAAAATAGATACATCTTTTTGGGTGTACTTATGCAGTGCATTGGTGTCTGTTGTCAGACAGTAAAATACTTAATTATTCAACTTTCCTTCATATTTCTCTCCATCTATTCAACCACAAACATTCAGAGAAATAATTTACAAACTCAGACCAATTCGTATTTCCATGGTCGCTTGGGTTAAATCGGTGGGTCCTTTTGTCTTCTTGGGTTAAGCTCGTTTAAGAAAAATAAAAGCTGTCAGCCGTGTCAAAAGAAGTGGTTACACTGCACAGCGGGTCTATTATTGTCAACATGTGTGTGGAGCATGAGCAGCAGTAGTCAGACACACTGGAATGGAGTCTTCACAGTGGGTTACTGTTGTTGAGGCTGGTTGAACTGACCCATGAACAGAACAGTACCTGAACACAGGAAGTAAAACATTAGACAAAGCTCACACTCTGCGACGATAAGTGATAAAAATGCGGCTTTCAAAATAAAACTTAACAGGAGAGTATACCTGTTTGTTTGTGCTGGATGAGGAAGAGGAAGGGCCGGTCCAGAGTAATCTCCTCAACTGCCATACGAGAAAACATGACGGCAGCTAATGTAGGGGAGGAATGACAAACAAGTCAGTTTGTTATACCTTACACCCACCAAATATTTTGGTAAAAAATATTATATGAAAAATTGAATCCACACACACACACACACACACACACACACACACACACACACACACACGCACACACACACACGCACACACACACACGCGCACGCACACACACGGTGATGAAGTTATCACCACCTTAAGATCGCTAATCATTTTATAGTAACTCTATAACTCATAAGTGTGTTTGTGTGAGATGCAACACTGGGCCTACCCGTTGCTGCTGCTCCCTTGGTTCCTAGCTCATCCACCTCGATCTTCACTTTTTGAAGAACCTTCGACACACACAGCCTCTCGTCCGCTGCAGGGCAGTAATACACAAACGTTTGGCACACATTTAATCCAAAGTCACTATACTGGTAAAGTCTACAACTAACTAACATGGTCCTTATAGTGGAAAAGGAGGTTAACTCACTCATGCGTGTGAAGTCAGCAGTAGCCAGGTTGAACATGTCTCCCAGACCCATCTTAAGCAGAGCAGCCTTCAAATTCACCTCAGAATTCAGAGTGAACCTACAAAAAACATTAAAACCCTTAGTTTTCACTCCGGTTTCCTGGTAACCTTACATAGTCCATTATTTATCCATTGTTCACGTAACAACCCACATGCTGTCTTGACTCACTCACCTGGGCATGGCCAGCTGCCGCTTGACACTCCTCAGCTCCCGTCTCCACTGCTTAATCGTTTTACTACTCAAATCAGCACTGAGTGTGCTCAGTGAAACCTCGGGTTCAAAGGGCGACACTAGGAGCATGCTCAGTCTGTCGCCCTCGTACGGGACCTCGATGACATCATAGTCTATCCCGTCAGCAGTCACAAACTCGCCTGTTGATCAAGGAGAGGGATGTGAGTTTCGAGTTTCGAGTTTCTAAGCAGCACACATCATCCAGGTTGCGACCCCGGCTCACTGTGTTGGACCTACCATAGTTGTAGCGGTTGGTGAGTGTCATCATGTGCACGGGCACGTTGCTGCCGTTGGCGCAGTGGAACATCCTCTCCTGGGTGAGTTTGGAATCAAAGGGGACCTTCCAGAGGCCCTGGAAGTGGAGGGCATTGAGGAGGACCAGGCGGGTCTCATCAGTCAGAGATCCAGGTGCTAGGAACTCAGGGATGGCACCTGCAGATGAAAAGACAAAGGTCAAATGGTTTTTAAAACATGTTTAAAACTATGAATGATTGCGGAAAAGTCCTACAGATGTTAACCAGCTGATACCTGCAGTGTGGTCTGAGACCCATGAGTTGATGATGCTGACGGCCTGGTCTGGCTTGTTGAAGTCCACCTGGTTGGGGTGGGACTGGAAGGCCTTGAACAGGGCTCTGCGGTACCCCTTCTCCAGGCTCATCTTCCTCTCCACCATGACCCCGCTGGCTGTATCCACAGCAACCTCACTGGAGAGGTCCCGTTGCAGGAGGCGCTGCTGCCGAGACATCCCTCGCTCTGCAGGAGACGGTTTATGGTTACGCCTATGATCAGATGGCTTTCTTTTGTTTGGTGATGATCCAGAAAGAGCCCTGAACCTTTTAATGTATGCACCACCCACCTTGCAGGGAAAAGCCCATGGCAGCGGTCAAGGCCTTTCGGGTGTTCCCAGCAGCACCGAGCTGAGCCATGGCCAGGACAGAGGACACGCCATATGGGGACAAAGCCACGTTCTGGTCCACAGAATCACGGGCCAGCATTAAGAAGACCTTCAGGCCAAAGTCGGTCTGTTTGTCCTGCAGGGAGCCCAGTGCTGCTCCACTCAAAGTCAGCAAGAGGAAGGTATAAACGCAAAGCATCCTGGGAGAGAATGAAGAGAACTAGTGTAAGTGTGAATTTACACAATTGAATTTCCAGAGAAACTATGCACTCTACACGTTTGAGAGTGCACTGCTTCGCTTTCATTGAGGAACAGAAAGTAGGCTGGATTGCTCAATACAGATGAGATGTTTTCAGTCAAGCTTTATGGTAATGACTCACCAGTAGCCTGAGAAATTAACAAATTCCTGGAATAAAAAGTGCACTGTTGCATTACGATAAAAGAATAAGACGTCACATTTAACCCTTCATTGCCTGGTCTTACTATAAAGGAGTCTCACTTTTAAAGCATCATCTTTCCAGTTTAACAGACATTAAATTTGGAAATAATCCAGGCCCAAATGTAGTAATCAACCCTGTGTGTGTGTGTGTGTGTGTGTGTGTGTGTGTCTCATGCTGGATATATGTGTGTTCACAGCAGTGTGTCAGCTGGAAAGTGTGTGTGTGTGTGTGTGTGTGTGTGTGTGTGTGTGTGTGTGTGTGTGTGTGTGTGTGTGTGTCAGTAACATTGGTTTTCCACTGCAGACATCAATAGAGCGTTGTGTGTGTGCAGCAGCCCAGGTGAATACAGATTTTAACAAAATATCACAATAGAACTTCATGTTAATTTCTGTTAGTGTTATTTTTTTAATTGGTGTTCTGATAAAAAGGTTAAATATGCAGTTGATGAATTATCTACGGTAAGGTTGTTACCGAGACAGTTGGATATCTTTGCATAACTCCATAAATCTGCAAATACTATCAGCCAGAAAAACAATACATGTCGTATTAATCAGGCTATGGCTGATACATAAACCCTCAGTAGAAACCTTCATAACTTGTATAATTAAGCTAGAAAGATTGGTGAATATAAAAGCTACTGAAGTGGACATTGCTGAAGAGATTTTACATTTAACTTACAATTATTCATTACCAACTTTTAGAGATTTCCCAAGAGGCAAATTAGTAAAATAATCACCTAAAAATACATAACCCAAAACTGATCACTTTTGATGAGTGAATGAAAAACAATACTAATTTCCACCGCTGAAAATGAAACTATTAAATTCCAGTGACTTCTGTAAATCTACCAGTTGATAGTTATTAAACAAAAAACTGTTCTCATTAGATGTACAAATCTACCTTCCAAAGCTGTACATTTTAGTCCCGTTGTTTCTTACCTTCTGGTTGAAATGTGTCAAATGTAGTTCAGCAAGTCTGTGCGCTTTCAGCTTCTCTGTGCTCAAGTCTGAATGACTGTCTTTATAGCTCAGAGCCCCCCTGCTCCCCACCCAGCCGACTCACACACACACACACACACAGTCATTAGAGTGTATGATGTCATCGACGCCGTCTGGACAGGCTTCCTTTTCATGAATACACACATCCACTCTCCCTGCGCTTCACTGTCCTCTCAGCCGCCTGTCTGTGTCCCAGAAGCATGACAGAGCTGCTGGAAAGTCACTTAACTGTTTTCAATCTCAAAACACACAAATCTCTCTGGCACGATTCCCTGGACAAACACAGCCAGCAGAACCAGTGTGTCATGTTTCCTTGTTGATTCTTGTGAATAGAAGTACTTTGTTATCTTGATTGGTTAAGATTCCAATGTCTCCAGTCTTTGTTTCAACACTTTCTACACGTTCACCATAAATCCTGCAAACCAGTGAAAGAAAATGACAGAAACAGGTAATCTGTGGATGGGGAAGTGAAAATGTATACTGCTGTTTTTATAATCTTTGTGTAAAACTTGTCATGTTTATATATATACTTTTTTTTTTTGATGCATATATAAATGAATATAAATGGTTATTTTGAAGAACAAAAGAAAAACAAAATTCCTATATATAACAAATGGTAATCCCTATTACTATATTTACTATGTTCATAAATATAGTATTATGAACCAAACCTTAAAATATATTTAGAAAATGATTTGTTAAAGTTGTGGAAAGCCATTTTTATAGAAAACATTTGAAAAAAAGGGGGTTTTACAAAAGTAAAAAGAAAGTTTATCAGCTATTGAATTGAATCAACTTCTTTTGGATTTCAGCAGATTCAGATCAGCTAATTTAAACCAGCTTGCCAACCGGTCCCAAAAAAGAGTCCCGAGGGGGGAGACCAACTATGCAGTGTGGGTGAACACATTGAAATACCAAATTTGGTCATGGCTTCCAGCATTCCCAATCTCACTACTCACAAAGCATCGATTTACCATAAAAAGAACTGGAATCATCACTCAGTTTCCAAATCTGTCGTGCATGGAAAAAAAAAAAAATCATAATTGATGCCTTTAACTTGGACGTTAAAAAGCAAAGCGAACAAAACATCTGTGGGTCTTGAACAACATTAATGGGTAGCTATGTGAGGGCTCAATGTCTAATTTGGGGGGTTCTGAAAAAGGGGAATGTATTCAGAAGAAATGTGCTTGGCAGCAATTATCAATAGTGAGAGGGGACGATTCTGCAGTTTCTTTTTATGCAAACACAGCTTGGTTCAGATGGAAACGCGAAACTAAACTAATACCTCTTCAATTTGAACTAAACGTTGGCAAAAGAGAGGACGTGGCTGCCAAGATTGTCCAGTCAGGTGGTTGAAAGTGTCGGGTGGAGGAAGGTGTGTTGAAGCGACAGGTCCAGCAGATCGAAGGACTTACACCAAGGGGACTGCTGTGTCAGTTCGTCCAAATCATGCAGAGAATAACAGATGTGCAAATTTAGGGGATTTCCTAGATCTCAAATAAATAATACTCAAAATGGGGCAAAAATGTTTGTCGAAATGTCTACAAAATGTCAAAGACAAGACAAACCCAGACTATAAACTGAGAAAACAAGGATTTGGAACTAGACTGCCCTGATGTCATTACGCTCTGGCTTTCATCTTTCAAAGACAGTTATGCATGTGAGGCACATTTATGGGCCAATTTAAACTGCCTTGTATGGCAGAGGGGAGGATTTGGCTCTGGGTTAGTGCTTTATCGTGGGGTTGTTATATTGCCTTGTGAAATCAGTTTACATCTTATTTACTAACGTACCTCAAGAGCCTCAGTTACAACTTGAACATTTTGAAAAAAAGTGAGTGTGAACACAAACACCCAAATGAGAGCAGAGGGATGGTCCTATGGGGTCTCATGAATCACTCAAGGAGACCTTTGTTTGGCCACTGTTGTCACTGCACGGGTCATCCCACTTTTTGTTGAGACAGTGTTGCCAAAAATACACAGAATGCATCAGCACAACTAACTTGGCATACGCCCACAACGCCTGAGGATGTGGTTTATTCCCGATGCAGCAGTGAACGGAACGTTGCTGTGTACCGCCCACCCAATTCACTGTGGGGGCTTCAGGAACCTGGGAATCAACTGTTGCCAAGACAACAGGCAATATCAAACACATGCCGTACACTATAGTCTTTAACTTGACAAGTAAAAAATAAGGCACACCCATATACAGGAAGAACTGAATTGACAATTGTGCATATTAATGCTTAATATACACTAATATTGTATTCGGGTTGAAATGATTACTGTGTAGAATATTGAGTTACCAGAGTTGTGAAAACGAATTGACAAAATTGCATCTGGGCTTGACTTTTGCTGGTTGCTTTAAAAAAATAAAAATAAAAATAAAAGTTAACATTTCACCAGAAGTGGATTTTACAATGTTCATATAATCTTTCTGCAATAGCATTGTAACCTATAAATGTGGTTTTATAATGGGACTTTACTAGCAATATAATTCTTTGATCTGCCAAATACCATTCACTAATGAACAACTTTCAGTTATGGGCGCGCCAAAGCCACATCTCACTTCATCGCTCTGACTAGATGCAAAAACGACCAAATTCCACATATTCCAAGTTAGTAAGAATGTACAATGCCAACATTTTTTCCAGCATCTACTCACTGTATAATGTTAACATCGGTGTGGACTGATGACACAGAGAGCACCACGTAACTACAGCCGCAGAGTTAGTAAGTAAATAGTTTCAACAAGCTTTATTCCAGGCAGATCTCACGATACTAAAACTAGTCAGGATCTGCTTTGGGAGAAAGGCAGACCGAAGCCAGAGATGAGGACGTTCTCCGGGTCGAGGACAGAAGACGGAGTAGTTTACCGGGGCGGAGGGGAGGTGGGGCGGTCCAAACAGACACGGTCAGCTACGGGAAAGCAGTCGGCGAGAGATTCTGTCATTCTGGAGGGGGTGGCATGAAAGCCGAGAACAATCTAGAAGTAAGTTTGCATGAAGCTGTGGTCTACATAGTGAAGCGAGTGGGTGCAGCAGGGCAGGTGAGAGTGATTGAACTGACGATGTGGGTGGGAATAAAAGGTGCGCTGAATAAGTTGATTAGGTGAGTGTGAGTGGCAGGGGAGAGCTGAATGTGACTAACGGTGCGCAACATCATCAGGAACACTAATGAAAAACTTATATTGAAGGAACTGTGATTTTAAACCTTTTTTATTTGTTTTGCTTCTCTTCGGTGAAATACATCTAAAAAAAAACAACTGAAGAAATAAGGAAAGTGCAATGAGCACATGATGTGAGTCAAAGTTGGAAAACCCCTGTTTTTCTAGATGACCATTTGACCTTGAGGTTTTGTCTGTCTGGCATTGAACCCAAAGACATGGAAAACTTCTCAGTTGACTGCCAAATTCTGACCGGCGTGGTCGTGACGCTCTTGGGCCTCCCCACGCATCACTGTGGTCAAACACTGCTCCTGGAGCTGGAGGATCACCAATTTCATTAGGATTCATTCTTTAAAGATAAATCATAATGAGGAACATTAAATGTATTCACAAAAAAGTAATCTAATAATTAATTGCTGATATATTCATGCCTGGTGTGTGAAGGAGAGGTACGGCAGGGTCTTCCTGCTGCCATCAGGCTGCACAACCAACTGTGCACCCTATGAACCACATGACAGTAAATCACTGAAAACCGAACACTAAAATATATGCGCAATGAAGATGACAATGTGCAATAACCACCGTGATGCACTGGGTGTACATAAACGTAACATTTATTTAATGCCTAGCATATTTATCCACTGTGTTTTTTGCACTCCTTTTTTACTTTCATTTTTGTCTATTTCTATTATATTAAACCAGACCAGCAGTGAGTAAACTGCTGGTCTTGTCTCTTTTTTTTACCATGTATCTTGTGTGCAATGTCCACTTTGCTGCTGGGATCCTTTGAATTTCCCCATTGTGGCACTAATAAAGGAATATCTTTTACGATTTTCAGTGTTATTAATACAACCAGAGAGTCCATCCACGTTAAGGCGATACCATTTTTAGACACATCTTTTTCTCACCCACAAAACAAATGGTTCCTCTATCTCGATTCCTGGTTTTGTCAGGTTTTGTCCCTTCAGATGGCAACACATTCCTCATTGGATTAACAACAGGAAATGAATCAAGGGGCAACGATTGTCATTTCCTGACATACCAGCAGAGACTGGGAATAAAGGTTATCTTATTTGTTTTGGACAGTTCTAGAACTGTGGTGTGTTTTTAATATAAAGGTATCATGATCATGATGTCAGAAGGACACAAACTTCAAGACTAAACAGCAATGAAGCAGGTGAGCAGGTAGTTAAGGGAAGGTCAACATGATGGGTATGACTGGAGAATGGTAAACTCAGGGCTAGAGGGCATCGCTGCATCTGAAATGGAAGGAAAGTTAGTGTGTTTGACAGGAAAAGAGTTGTGACTGGAGGCTGGGTATCAGTATCAACCAAAATAACGCAGTAAAAAAAAAAAAAAATATATATATATATATATATATATATATATATATATATATATATATATATTATAGCAAGACTTCTTTATTTGGGTTGCTATTACAGCAGGAACAACCCTTACAGCCGGGACGGCCTGCACGCCTCTCCACAGGAAGAAGTCTGATATGGCGGCTCGCAGCTAACGGTGTTTGAAACTAACAGCGAGCGAAGGTAACGCTCTCTGGGTCAACCTGGGGGGAAATGGTAGGGTGGGCGCTAAGCCTCCATGACCTCCTGCCACGCTGGTTATTGTAATCTTATAAGTGCTGTACTGGGGGGCACCAATTGGCCAGCCAGTGGGTCACCATGATGATAGTTAATGAAGAAAGTTCTCCATTGGTATGGGTATCACTTTAAGGGTACCTTTTTAAGGCCTTCACACCAATCAGTGATGATGTATCTGCATTTTTCCAACCTATTTTACTCTTTAGTACTACTTGTGGTATTTCCGTAGGAACCCAGTCATCATGAAGAGCATCCCTCTATAAAGGATAAAGGGAAGTTGAAGTGGGCTGT